TGCCCCAAGCGCGCCTGTGCCAGGCGGAAGCTGATTTGCAGTGCGCGCGCGCGGCGCGAGCTTGCGTTCTGGCGTTGCCCACCCCCGGAAGCAGGGTGCTTCCCGTGCCTCCGACCACCGTGTTTTTGGGGATAAAAAGTTTAGATGACTGATTGATGATGATTGATGCGTTGTTGAGGCTTCTGCCCCGCTGCGGCAAGTTTTTCCGGCCAGCATCATCAACACAATTGGGCCTTTGCTTCTCCTGTTTTCAACGCCTCAGCATGCTTAGGGTGGGGAAGGGGTGCTAGATCCACAAATGTGCGGCATCAAAAGGGAAATGCAAAGCCTGGAGCTGGCTCCTTGAAACCTGCTGGGCCCTAAAATGTGTAAACCTTAGCAAATATTGCACACCACCTCAACCTACGATGTATGTACAAAAAAGGACTTTTGAATTGCAACAGTTGTGCGCAAAAACCACGTTCAAAGCGGTCTGGATGGTTTCTCAAGAGGTTTCTACCCGAAATGGTATCCCAATTGTGCTGATCATGATCGCATACGGGGCATCATCAGCACAATTGGGCCCCCATTTTGGATCATTTTCCGTTCAACTAGACAGAGCAAGAGCCCTCCGAGACCACCCTAAGTAGCAAGAACATCATTTGATCATACAATTCTCCCGATCAGGAGAATTTTGGCAGGGGGTTGCCTGGTTTTCACTGATTTGGACCATCATAGACCCAGTTTTGGGGTAACCATAATGGATACAGGGGCTCTTAAACTTGGAAAGCCATCCTACGTGATGCCAATAGAATACGTCCTGCAAGAGCATGCTCAAAACTCGGCGCGCGAAGGAATCCACAGAACTTGCCATGCAAAGCATTTCGGGTTCGTGCACTCGTCATGCCAGAAGCCCCATAAACCAAACACTTATGGCATTGAAACACAAGGTCACTCATCTCGTAGTCAGGGACGTTACGAGGGCAGGGAGTGCTGCGGCTGTAAGTAGGAACAGCCTGCCTCGGACTACCGGGCTTCCACACAAGAGTCCTCTCTGTAAATTGGGGGGACCGGAAGCGATTCCTGCACCAGCTGGGAGGCCTGGGAGGACTCTGTCCTCTGCCTTCTCGTCCCTCACCTGTGCCTGCACCTGTGAAAGGTAAAGCACTACCCAATTCATGCTGCCCAAGTCTTGTCATTGCCAGGTCTGCACAGGGTGGATACTGCTGATATGTGGACGGTTGAGGTTCTGACAGGTTGCGAAGCGACCCTTTGGGTGCTCCCACTTCTGCTCCTCTCGTTTGTAGGAGGATCACAATGACCTGGCAAGGAAAGGGCTTGGAGTTTTCAGTACGCAGGCCACATTGAGCACCAATCATTGCAGCTCAGCAGCCGTGATCATCGGAAGCCTCTGTGGAGGAGGCAAGAGCCTGCTTGCAGACCATGGCAGAACCACGAGGCGTCTTCTCTGCAAAGCATCTGATCATAAAAGAATATCTGACAGCCATAGACAAAGCAGGTGATCCTCAGGGCACTACAGTTCTAACTTCTGACTCTCATGAAAAAGCTTACCTCAACCTTACCAAAAGCCTGTTCCGACGTCCTGCAAACCCCGAGCTAACACAAAAGGGCACTGAATTGCATGGCACTGGCACCTCAGGAAGGGGCTCTGCGCACCTGAACAGGGTTCAGCAAACAACGCAGTCTGAAAGCAAGGCTCCATATTGCATGCTCCGCTTGGTTTTCTGAACCGCGGAAAGCTACCATCTTCCGAACATGGTGCCCGCCCTTAGACAATAGATCTTCTATAGGCAGCCATTGATTCCAGATGGAACTGCCAGAATAAAACAGATCACGACTCAATCATAGCAGTCTGTCACCCAAAACGGATGCATCGTCTGCACTTCCCGGAACTGCCTGTGCAGCGTCCGGATGGCGTCGATAAGCTGCTGGTGACCTGGGCATCAAGACAGACTCAGCCTGGCCAGCCGGTTCAGCGCCCGCATAGCTGCTAGGACTGCTAGGAATTGAAATGCCAGACTCTCTTCCCAAACAATATGCCGTCGGGCTATGCCTTCGTCTCTAACCGTCGTCATGCCAAACATCGGTCTAAGCTTGGACCCCAGCGCTTCCTCCATTCCTGAAGGTTCGAAAGAGGAGACTTGTTGATGCTTGCAAACAAGAAAATCTACAGTCGTCCACCGCAATGTGGCATCAGGTCTACGCCAGGAAAATCATGTCAAGTCTACTCATGGTCGCATACTGATCTCAAAAAACATGGGCAAGGGATCCCCCTCCCAATTTACAGGCGATGCTACGCCCCGACCCCCACCCCTCTGGCTTCATGGTATGGATTTCTTATGGCACAAGCCTGTTTGCTCTGTGCCTCTAGGCGACAGAGTCAGCCTTTTGGCTCTATTAATTGTGTCTGTGTGAATGGAAAGGGGTAGCCTTTTAAGGGCACGGGTGGCATCTCTATGAAAAAAGGAGGTTGGGGTCTGCACCATGCACATCTATATGCAAGCATGTCGCCTGTTGCCTTCATCAACGGCTTCCCGGAAGCTACCACCATCCCCTTCAATGGCTCACCAGACCCCTTTACAGGGAAGTTGCACAGTACATACGCAGCTTGGTGAGAACTTCCAGTTATTTGCGCATGGCGGAAACATTAACTCCAACACTTGGGCTCTCTGTTACGGGCCTTTGCATGCCTCCTTTACTTGCCTTAAGCCAGAGGTATTATGTGGTCATGGCTTGGCAACGCCTTCAAAAATTGCCGCTGCTGCTGCAGCTGTAGGTTGACCGCAGTCCAAGTGAAATCTAAGAAGAAAAACTTGCCATGGTCATAAAGCCACTTGTATAATGTGAAATCCGAGGGCAGGTGCGATTCTATGCAATGGAGCCGGCGGATAGCATCTTCAAAAAGCACGGGGGCCAGGAGGGGGGGGTGGGGCTCGGCACTCTCTATGAAACGTAGTGAGCCCGTCTTGCTTTTCTAGGAAGCCAGGCGCCTAGCGGTCTTTAAGCCTTAAAAGCTCTTTCTGGGGACCACCGTGCTTCCGAGAGAACATTGAAGAGCTTGGGATGCTATTGGAGATCTTCAACGGCAGCTTGCATGTACAGCTACGCAGCTACAACTGAAACTGACACAGCTTTGCTGGAGCGTTGCAGTTGCATGAGAAAATAGAGCAGAAAGCGTACCATTCAGCATCCGTGGCCTCCGTAAAGCTCGTCCCATGTTCGCGCGCATCCTGTTCCAGGCCATGCTTTCTGCATTTAACGGCATTACAACCCTAGCCATCATATCCTAGCATGTCCTCACAATATGGGACACTTCTGGATAGACGTACCCTGTTAGGTCAGAGAACTGTGCCAGACCTTCAAGATGCCATCCATGGTTGAGGGCACTTCGCAATCTGCAACCTGGAGCATACAAGGTAGTTTCCCAAAAAAAAGGGGACCCCAATATAGACCCAAAAATAGTATGATCCTTATTATGGGGACCCCCAAAATGGCATTCCTAATTTTGGGAAACCCCCACAAGGAGGAGGCATCTGAGCATCTCTCAGCATCTCTGAGCCCTTGCAACTCATCTCATCTGCTCTGCTCTGCGCATCTTCGCGCACTTAGGCGGGGCCCAGCATCCTTTCAACTACCACAGGTAGCTGGAGCAACAAACTAAGCTGCTTCACCTTCTCGCCTGAAACTCTCCAAACATGTGTTTTCTACAACAAAACCCCGGGGCTCGCGCACAAGCCATGAGCGTGGGCGGCCCTACCTGCGCTTCTTCGCGCTCAATTCTCTTTTGCAGGATCACAAAAAAGCCGGCACTTCCATGCGCTGACTCGCGGCAGAAGGTGGCCTTCAAACCCCTCTCAGCTGCAAGAAGCCATGAGCGTCATCTTGATCGTCAGACCGACGCTTACTTCGCTAAATTTGATGTCTCGCGAGTAGTTTGCATCTGAACGGCAAATGAGGAGAAACAAGCCGTACTTGACAGTGCTTGCAGTGGCAGAGTCTACTCGGGGCACGTCGCTTGAGCAGCGCATTCACAGCAAGCGGTGCTGCCTCTGAATCCAACTACAGTATTAGCGAACGGAAAACAGTTCTGCAAATGGCGTCTGCAAGTCTGGGCAAGCTGGATGTCTTGTGGCTCACCGCATGTTCATCTCATGTCAGCATCTGACAGGTGCGACATAATCAGAGTCAAGCTGGATCCCAATCAAGTCATGTCATTTCGTGCCATTGGTTTCTGGGAACCAGCTTTACCCTTGCTAACGAATAGCAGCTGCTTTTGCCAGCGTCTACCACGGAAGCCACAGCAGCGTAGCAAGTTATTGTTGCACCGTAGTGAGAAGTACTGCCTTGCATGATCAGTAGGAGCACACGCCGGCATCATATAAAACGTGCGCATCCTTTCACGCATGTTTTACCAGAAAATGGGTTGCCCCTTCTTCAACTGTGCTTCATGATGTGCTACAACGAGGCTTGTGTCCAGGAAGCAACCCATCTGCAATCTTCGTCCTTCCTTAGAGGTTAGGGTACTGGTTGGTGTGGCAACGAACTAGTTGTCCGCTTTCATAATCGTTGTTCTTTTGGGCATTGTCGGGAATCACAAACTCAACGTGTCTGTCTATTGCTCCAATAACTATCGATTTCTGAACAACTTACAAAACTGAAGCGTCAGCTGGGCTGCACAGGACATCGACTTTGCATTCAGGACCTTTTGGTCTCAAAGGAAACGACAACACTAGAAATATCTTAGATCCTCCTGTCGCAGATACGTCGATGCCACCATCTAAGCGTGCCCGTGATGTGAGACGACCGGCGCCGCCGAAATCACAGCGTTGACTAGGCCTGACAGGGCACACCCGACAGTTGGCAACAAGCATCTCGTGCGCGCCGCCCTGCAAACCTGCCCAGACCGTCTGCATACTTTTCCCCTGCACGCTCGTTTGCTTGCACCTGCATTTGACATTTAAAAAAGCCTCACACCAGGCCTCAGGCTGGATTCGCGCGGTCTATCTTCGCCTGCATTCGATCAGAAGAGGGTCTGCTAAGGGGATCTGGCTGAAGGTGGCACACACGTCCTCGCCTATCACGGTCGCGGTCGCGATCACGGTCGCGGTCACGATCGCGATCACGGTCCCGGTCTCGATCTCCACCACGATCTCGTTCAGTCCTACAGGGCTGTAAATCATATCTTCAACGCGCCTTGCCCATTCGTCGACATCGCTGGGGCTCTGACGGCTTCGCACCACCGCCTGTACGACAAACAGTTCAGCACATCAAGCCCAAACGCCTCCAAGCCACAAACTTGTTGATGCCGCCTTTCTTCTTGGTGCCAGCAGGATACCTGGCGAGTAGTGAATAGTCACTCACAACCGCTCATCTGTCATGAGCTAGCTACCTTACCACCGACTACTTGCAGCGGGGCAGCTCTTGTCATGAGATAGCGGTGAAAACATCAGTCCAGGGCACTTGGGAGGGTTCTGCTTTGGAGCATCGTCAATGAGCAGAAAGTTCAAGTCCTGAGTAGCTTGAAACGTCCAGGCAGGCATAATCTCACAGCACAAGGCTTGCTTTCAGCACGAGGCTTGCTTTGAATCTCCAGCACGCACACTCATGACTTAGTTGGCAACCGCATGATCTGGAAGGATCACATACCGGATGTTGGCCCCGCCTGCTTGCAAGTAGGACTCTGCTCGCATTCTAGTGTGAGCTCATCTCAGATTCATGCTTTGTACCATTACGAGCATGTCTTTTGATACCAATACTATGGGACTTTTTTAAGACACCATGACCATTCCCACAGATCATCTGCTCACACAAGCTTGATGAAGACAGAAGTGCTCATTTGTTCAAAGGCGGCTTGTATACGCTGTTATTCCGGTGCTTTCATCGCCCTCAGCAGTGTTAGGGACCACACGAATCGACAGGAAAGCCATGTTGACCGGGTTTTTGTGCCGGACCTCAGCATTCTCAGATACTCTGGATGCAGCAATCATGTCGGTGATGAAACATATCCACACAACATTGTCACAGCAGTCTTGCTCCAGCGACTGCACTTCTCTGAACCTGGGACACCTCTCTCTGTGCTGGGCAAGAGGCTGTAACTTTCACCTGCTTGAGGTGCGTGTTCATGGATGTGTCCACCGCTGTGATGGTCCCCTGCCCAGATGTTGGGAGATGAGACCCGGAGGTGAGGCGGGCTGCACTGTGCCGGAGTGGGGCGCTGGGTTCTGTCACAATCAATATGCCATCATGCACGTGAGTACGTGCGAAGTTTGTGATGACGTCGTGTTGGCAAGCATGCTGGGAACATCAGGGCTGCCCTTTTTGAGACATGTCTTCGGAGCGCGCTGATCGACAAAACCCAAGTTGTTTTCCAGTTGTGCCCAAATATCCCAAAACCGGTATCCATACGACTTGCTGCCAGTCATAACAGCAAGTTAATACAGCTTACCAGTATTTAATATCTTTCGACTACATTTTGGTGCACCAGAAATCTGAAGATCTCAGCCCATTGCATATGGCCTTTTTGACCCACAATTGACACTTCGTTCAAAACCTGTGCCAATCTCTGCCGATACCACAGATATGAAAGGTGACAACAAATCGGACTCGTTGTCAAATGTTACTGGTGCAGGCACCCCTGTCGGAAGAAAACAGTTTCGAATACTTTCCATGTCATGTCTACTTGTTTTTGGAGTTGCGGTGGCAGCGGGGACTGCGGGAAGCGCCCAGCTGCAAAAGGCCTGATGATGGTGGGAGAGGCAGGTGGTGGAAGCGACAGAAGATGCAAATTCGTGCAGCCGCACCCGAGACACAGACCCAAGACCACAAACAAATGGGATGAGGGGACTGCAGGGCAAGAGCGGCAAGCGGCCTCCAACACCCTTGGCCCTCTGACACCGTCACAGAAGCTGCTACAACTGATGCCACCACTACCACCCCCACAACTCGACACAACCACCGCCAGCACCACCAGCACTACCAACACCACGAAGTCGACAACGATGGCAAAGACAAAATTGTGCTAATCTAATCGCTACCTGCACGTGGGGCAGCTGGCAAGAAAAATGCGAGCTGCAGAGAGGTTGGGCAGCAGAGGAAACGCCAGATGGCAAGCTGCGGGGTGGAGGAAGCACCCTAAGTGAAGCTGAAAGTGGCGGGCAGCAGAAGGAGGCTGCAAACGGTGGGCAGCTGAAGCTGCAGATGCAGCTGCAAAGGGTCCACAGACAGCACTAGTCGTTCGCTGCGAAGGATGGGAAGCTACAAACACCAGATGGCAGGTCACACAGCACAGCCTGGAAAACACCAAACAGCAAAAATGAATTTGCATGCCGCGCGAACACATAAGCACCAGCCACGAGGAGGTGGAGCATAACTCCAGGCAGTGGCCGGAGGGACGGGAAGGGAGTGGGCGTAACACTTCAGATGCGAGCTAGCCGCAACTGAGGTGGTTCGGTGGGCACAGCCCTTAGTGCCACACCAAGGCTCCAGCCAGCACAGAGGGGTAACCCTCTCGCCCCAAGGGAAAACCGCTGCAAGCCAAGGTGCCTAAACTTGAAACTGAGAAAAATCCTTAAGTCCCCCGCACATCCCTTTACTTCAAGAAATCCCCTCCCTGTCGAGGGCCAGAAGCCTTGCCTGCACCTGGGTGCCGTTCTTCAGCTCCATAGTCACGGTCTCATTGACCATCTTCCCCAAAAACCTAGTGAACAAAAAGTCAAGTTAGGGATGGCTATGCAGACGATTGGACCCCTAAAAATGTGAGTTGCAAGGTGTTGGAGTTTAGTGCTTTGGGCCTTTAGGCCGGCTTTAGGATTTACAGCATGGGGTTATGAGTCTACAAGGATGTATCAGTCTACAGGGGTTAGGGTTCTCCACCCAACTAAGTGCTACAGCTTCTGACAGTTTCAGTGGAGGTCCAGAACATATGAGCTTCCAACTCAAAATCGGGAGAATCATGACCGGAAGGAGTCAGCAAGAATTGCTTTTTGAGGACTTGGCCTATTGAGCTTCATGGCAGCCGGCTTGCACCTTCCAAGCGGATTGCAAGCGCATTTGGTAAAACGTCTACGGCTCTGTTGACGTAAACCACTTAGCGATGTAGTGTAGACAGCTTAAGTGTCGGTTTACACTGCAACTTGCTTTGAACACATCTTTGAACAGTGTTGTTCACTCATGCTTGCAGATCGCTGCGCCTCCAAGCAGTGCTCGGAGAACCCGCCCCCTAACACGCCCGGAGCCAGGGCTGCGGGTAAGGTCTAGCTAGTAAAGGGTACTTGATGTGGCCACGCAAGCCACATCTGCCGCGATTGAGGACATGGACGCCATCAAGTTGAACCAAGGATGAAGGATGTTGCATGTCCCTCCATGCTTTCCATCACAGGCTGGTCTCAGAAGTGCAGCATGCTGGGCATGACCCATTTTTCGCCTCTCAGCCAAAGCTTTCGGCTGTACAAGAAGCTCAGCTCTCTACCCAGCACTCGGGGATCTGCAGTTCGGCTCTCACAGATAGCGGCCTGCTATGCGCCGCCACTGACCTCCAGGCTGTCCTGATCAAATCAGTCAGCCATGATGTGTGAACCCACTTGCCGCCGAGAATGGCTGCAGGCATGCTGGCACCCTGTCCTCGTTTTGAGGCAACATTCTCTGGAGAAGCTCATCATCACGGGACCTATAGGACCAGGTGAACAAGGCTTTTGGCTATGGGCTCTCCATCCTTTCCAATACTGCCGTCTTTAGCATGCTTCCTGCGCTCTCTCTCTTGAAATCCTTGGCCGCTGACTCAATCAAGGAACTCAGGAGAGCCCCCGGCCTTGCGATTATGTGGCATGACAGGGAAAAGTCATCATGCAGCACAGTTGCATTCATGATGCAGCATCGGTTCTATTGTACTTTCCTGTCCATGCATGACATGGCTAGGTCGATCTCCAAAAAGAGATACTGCAGCTTGCAGCTCCATACATGTCTTAGCGCTCTACTTCCTGAAAATCGAGCATTCTGCAAATATTCTGGCCAAAGAATTTGTTGTTTGCTTGGCATGCGGCTCAATTGCGCAGTCCGACTGAGCCAACCTGGCAATCCTTAGAAGCGCCACACTTGGAAAGTTTGTGGGAGCTGGTGTGCTCGGCTTGAGCAGGGCCAGAGTTTTCAATTGAGCAGTCCGAGGCACAGCTCAGATTCAATGCTGACTTGCCGCCAGTTGCCGCCAGGCAGCTCGACAAGTTCTCGAACATGTTCAGCAGTTCTTCGAATGTCTTGCTCCAGCTCCATGGCAACCTAAAAAAGACTGCAGTTGAAGAGCATCGCTTGTCCAGCCGCGCACGCATGCGAAGTGAGCTCGAGGTGCGCACGTTGGTCATGGGCGCGTGAGGCGGTGGCGGCGGCGGAGGAGCGGTCCCCACGCTACAAGCTTCTTCAAGCGGTGGTTGCGGCGCCTCAGTCTAGCCGTTACAAGCTTTGGGCAGTCACATATAGCTCAGAGGGTCAACCCCCCCATTGCATGAGACGTGCTTTCTCCGGCCAAGCTACCTGTGGGGGCTGCGGCAGATCTCCATCAGCAGCCTGACAGCAGCCATTGCAGTGGGTTCAGTACACTCAAAGCTTGCTTCCGCTAAGGAAGACCCTTTTGCTCCAGCCCTACTTGCACCGTTCAGATAGGCCTCATCAGTGTGAGGAGCAGCCTTGCTGGCCTGCCTTGCATGCGCAACTCCATGCTCAGTCAGCGGCCAAATCTCCCCCCTTCCAACTACTTCTGTGCCTCTGTTTAAAGGCAGCTTTGATCTGTTCGATCACCAGCAGCCTTGCAGCATTGCAAGCGATCGTTGAAAGCTAAGAGATGCCAGGCCACAGGAACAATGTGCCTTGTCTTGCCAGCCGAGCCGGCCATCTGCTGCTCCACAGCTCTTGCAACCTGGAGCAAAGGTCGGCGCGTCATGCCAAAGAAGACAGATAAGACAGGCAGCAGGTTTCAGGAGTTTGCGCCTCGAAACCCCGAGCGGCAGAGGCCTCTGCCCGACGGGCTGCTTTGGCCACCCTGCCATGGACTTCGGACTTTGCAGCATGAGCTTGAGCTGCTCCAACTGCTCCACCTATTTAGGCATGCTGCAACAACCCGGAATGTCTTCGCGGGACTTTTGCGAACAGGTTGACTTCACCCCCGTAGCAGCCCTGCCCAGTCGGACCCGTTCGACGAGACTACTGGATGCAGTTGCTGTCGGATCTGAACTTTGATAACCCTTGCTTGAATCGATGTTCAATGCATAAGTGTTCACACTGCTGCAGGCAGGCATCACGCGGGTTGTCAACATGAGTGCCAGAAGACATCACACAACACCATCCTGAAGCTTATTGGGGCTGGGAAGCAAGCGGATCCACTTATCAATTTTGCTGCTGATCGTGGTTGATGCTGCCAAGCCAGCCAGACTAGCATGTCCGCTCGCGACAGGACTTGCCTCGTGGCTTCCACCTGCGCAGTCGACTGGTCTCGAACATACCGCTCTACGTGCGCTGC